CAGCCCTCGCCCGCCCCTCGGCCCCGCCCCTCGCGGCGCCGCGCCCTTCCGGGAGCCGGAGCCAGGGGCGCCGCCTCCTGCCCCGCCCCGTCCCTTCAGCCGCCGCCAGAGCTGCTCGGGCAACGTGCGCTGTGCTCCCCACCATGGTCATCAAGGTTTACATCGCCTCCTCGTCCGGCTCCACAGCGGTAAGGCGCCCTCAGCCGCAGGGGCTCGGGCTTGGGTCCCCCCGGCGGGGGGGGGAACGGTGCGGTCCCTCTGCCTCAGGCGCGGGCTCCGTCCTCCGGCTGTGTTTCCTTGCCCCGTTAGAGCCGGGAGCCGCACCGCTCCCCCCGTGTGGGTGGGTGGAAGCCCCCTGATGCCTCCGAGGTGCTGGGCTGGTTCCCTGAGCTCCCACAGCTGCCAGGCTGGAAAGCCGAGGAGGAGGGGGACCTGCAGGGGGTCTGTGTCCAGCAGGCGCCCACCCCCTCTGTGAGTCCGAGGTGCGAGCCTGGTCTCGGAGCCGAGGTAAAGGCCGACTCCCCTCCCTACTTCGCGTCATTCTCTCTACCCCCATGACTGCTTCCATTTCCCCGACTGCCCTGTGCCTCTGGACCTCTGCTCCCAAAGGCAGGGTAGTGCCAGCCCTGCCTCATGTACGTGGACCACAGTAGCCAATGAAGCTGGTGTCTTTTTTGGGTCTGAAAGTGATGTTCGTTCCCGCCACAACATCCCTTCCCCCTGGAGAGGGGAAATCTAGCTCTTCTTTCATTTAGGACAAAAGGGAGAGATGTTGGAGGGAATCAAAAAGGTCTGTAGTTTCTCCCCCCCCTCCCCCCTCTGTATTTTGAGGAGGTCCCATTGTATCAGTTCAGCAGTACTTTCCCCTTTCTTTGTCTCCCTAAGGAGTCCAAATAGCTGCATCTTGCTCTGTCCCACAGCCGTTTTGCATTGTTGAAATTCCTCTAATGCTGTCCTGGTGGAGTCTAAGTCCTTTTTAAGTATTACAGTAAATGCAGTGTGAGGTGGAGATGAGGGGATCAGGCAGTTAGGTTTTGTTTTATTTTGGCCCTGAAACAGAATACCCTTGCTACTTTCTTTCCTCATTCCTAGCTTGTCCCCATGAGAAGCTCCATTATTTGTAACTGGGGGATCGGTTGCAAGTTTTTACTTCTCCAGCCAAGGCTCCCCTCCCTCCCTCCGCCCTGGGTAGGGAATGCCTGATTAACAATTGGAGAAAAATCTGCAGATAAACCTCCTGATCTGATCCTGTTCTAAATCTTCTCGCTTGTGCTTGCTGGTGGTCCTGATTGCTGCTTCTGGTCATCAGAAAGAAGCATTATTCCCCTTCTGATGTAGAGGCTTGCAATTTATCATGTCCATAGTTTTTTTTCAATGACTTCCTTTTCTATCAGATGATTAATGATTACTTTAGAAATTCTCTCTGACCGCTTGGGATAGTAGTTGCTGTGTCTTGCTGTACCATTATGGAAATGCTGTTGATTCTTAGAGATGAGTCTTGTTTCTCATCCAGGACTGCATAAACAAATTTGGTTTTTAAAAACAATTGAGTGAACACACTTTTTGGGCTTATGGCTAGGTAGTCAGTTATTAAAATTGATTTTGAGCTGGTAGTGAGCCTAAAGGATTTTGCACAGACTTCCAGCCTTCATAGGCCAGGTCCCCATTTGGAAGGCTCTGCCAAAATAGCTGTATCATGTGCTTTATCAGAGAAGGACGCAATTAGGACATTATATGTAGACAGTCATGGAGAAGTTGCGGTTTATTGGTAAAACTGTGGCTTTATTTGTATAATGTGTCCCAGCTTCCCACCACTGGCTTTTTTTTAAATTTCAAACTAGACTCTTAACATTACTTTTCTGCAAAGCATCTTGTGTTTGTGAATTTAGGGTTGCTTATCACTTTGAGATGCACCTTTTAATTGCCTTTGCATCTGTCTTTGCTTTTTTGCCTAGCATTTGAATAGCTGTTAGCATAGTCAACTTTCATAGGTGAAATGTAATGTGTTCATCATACACGATAATTGCATCTGATTTCAGACACAAGCATGTGTATTTCTACATACTGTAGTAACACTGGTAATTCAGTAAGGTCTAGTCTTACAGCAATTAATATTACTTGTATATACATTCTCTGCTGACTGTAGGAAAGGTGTTTCCATTGGCATGAATCAGTAGAGTACCTCATCCCTTGGCCACTTTCTAGAGTAAGAATTTCAATAGGCGTTTAACTCTGACACAGAGTAAATGGATAGCAGCCTAGCTAAGAGAAAATCATATGTTCAACTGAAACTTGGTACAAAACCCACTGTAGTAAATTCTCTTAATGGGCTTTGGAGAGACAGAACTTGCTTTGAGGCTGAAGAAAGTCTCAGTAGGATGCTGAGTTAGAAATGGTTAGGTCAGCCATAAGGTTAATGGAAAATCCATATCGAGAATGGAGGATGCTGCTGTAAGAGGAAACTGAACCAAAGCTTAATCTACTCAATATAATTCAGTTGCCAACTCTATGGTGTGGTTGCTGCTACTACTGAAATGGTTTTATATGCAAAGTAAAACAACAGTGCATTGCTTTATATGTAGACTGTGTCATTTGAGCATGAGCAAAACAAAATGATCCCTAAAATCATGTTCTTGCCTGAGAATTAATGATGAGTATCTGGAAGTTGTTGAGCCTCTTTTGTAGGCAACTGCTGAACATCAAATTCTACTGGAGTCAATATCTAAATTCAATAGCCATTTAAAGCAACATTCTGGCTAATTTACTAGCAACTGAATTTCCATCCCCTTGGCCACGTGTAAAATGGTTCTGCAGGGACACTGTTCTTTATGGAATGTGTATTTAGTAACTGTGCCATGTATGTAAGTGTAATAAAACATGATGTGAGATTTGTGATATAGTTATCACATCTAAGTGTTTTAAAGATGCCTTTTTATGCCTGCCTGTTGACTTGTTAGTTTAAGATAAAATGCACTTTAAACATGTGACTTGCACTTTGTGGGTTGGTACATATGTTATCCATGGCCTGGTGGGTGGTGTGGTGCCTTTACTGATGAACAGTGCTGTTATAAACTTCATTCATCTAGTCTCAATGACTAAGCCAAGGGTGGCCAACCTGTAGCACATGTGCCAGAGTGTCACTGGAAGTCTCTGTATGGTTCAGAGGAAGGGGATTGGAGTGGCACTCAAAGAAGATACGGGGCTTAATTTGTAGCATGCCTGATAGAAAGGTTGGCCCTCACTGAGGTAGGCATTGATAACTATTGATATCTTGCATTGCTGGTGGACCACCTTTGTGTGGCTGTTTTAACATTGGCTCAGTAGGTGTTGATTTAAACCTTTTATATCAGTAGTTTTCAACCTTTTCTTTCATTTGTGGACCGCTAAAACATTTCGAATGGAGGCGCAGACCCTTTTGAATGGCAAGTGTGGGCATTCATGTACTTTTAATTAATCATAGTCATCTTCTGTGGACTCCCATTGACCACAGGTTGGAAACAGCTGTTCTATATAGTATAGATGACTTTGCTAGTACTGATTTATTGCTGGAGTTCTCCCAAGCAAATCTGATGAGACCCTATCATTACTGTAGGACTGAGTCAGACTAACATCATTCCAGTCTTGGAGTCTGGCCACGCATTATGGTTTCCTCAGTGTAATCCAAATTTAAGAGATGTAAAGTACAAATTTCCTGTTGAATGTGGAAGACTTGTACCCGAAGGAGGTGGCTTCTGTACCCCTCTCAAGGTCGT